CACAGTCCAATACGTAATAAATAATACATTTCATTTTTCTCTGAAGCGTTCCCCCTCGAAACTACTTTTAGGTTATGACCAGCGTGGTCACGTGGATGCTAAGTTAGTAGAGCATCTCAACCAATTGGCGAAGGTTGAGTTTAATTTCGAAGCTTACCGTGATTCGGTTCGCGAGGCGGCAGTAGACTCTGCTGAAAGCATCAAAAATTATAATAAGGCGTATTATGACGGAAGGCACAAAAAGCCGACAAAATATAACGCAGGTGATCTGGTGATGATTCGCGATACGGTTGTAAAACCTGGAGAAGATAAAAAGTTGAAACCTTCTTATAAAGGCCCTTATAGAATTACGAAGGCTCTAAATAAAAATCGGTATGTGGTGGAAAGTATTCCCGGTTTCGATATAACCTCCCGTCCTTATAATTCGATCGTGTCACCAGACCGCCTGAAGCGGTGGATTAAAGCAGATAGTCCTGTCAGTCCGTCAAATGTTGAAAACGTTCCTGTTAGTGTATAAGTATAGAATTAGTTCATGCTGTGAAATGGCCGAACGTGCCTGTAATATTCTGTGTTACTAATACCAAAGTCAGTTAAGTAAAATTATTTTATTCGAGTTCAAGTTATATGATTTTCGTTAAGTTCGAATTGCGTGAAAAATACAGTACAGCGTTGTTCGAAATATCGCGATATTAATGAATAAGTTATGTTTAAGTTGCGTTAAAAAGCCAGATCACATTCGGGTCGAATGTCGTCTCAGGCTGGCTGATCTGTAAGAAATCGAAGGGCGCCTACTCCGATAGGTGGCTCCACGTGTTACATGCGAGCGTCGCGATAACTTCGCTGACTAGAGGCGCTAGCATAACCGTTGCCAACACACGATTGGAGAGTGTGTGTAATTGGTCGGGGATGACGCAAGATGTTTTCGTAAAGCGTGTAACCGTCGTGCAAGTCCGAACGTGTTTGAGCGAGTTCGAGACGAGCAGCGTGCGAGAGAGTTCGAAGTAAATCATCGAAGAGATTGGTCGTGCGCCGGAAGGCTCGTGCCTTTGTAATCGCATCCCGGCATATCGACACGCAATTCGTAAGTCCGTGCAATGGACTTCGCGACAATGTAAAAGTGAAATACATTCGAGTTAACGTTATTTATCCTTGTCTTCTTTCCCCTCATCACTACCCTCGTATTCCTACATAATAAGCGCGAGGTCGTATTCAATACTCGTGCCTCGTAGACAAGGTCATCCTGCATATTCCTCCGAGAATACCGGTGAAACAACATTAACATTACCAAGTCATTTACATATATATGTATTCTTATATATTATCACTAAAGGAAAGTTGGTATTGAATTTGGCTAAGATCGTTGAAGGCGGTAACCGATATTTAATAATTTTATAAGAAAATTTTATTAACCGATTTACTTTGGCAAGAATCGGAAAAAGGGTTACCGATTTCTGCAAGAAATTTATACTTAACACTAGGAGGATTCTGTAGTATATTAAATTTGGCGTCAATCATTGAAAAATTACTAATTTGCACATTTTATTTTTTGTTAAAACTGTCCAATCAGAGCTTGTGATCTCGATTCGATAGGATCGATAGACCGCGCTTGTATCGACACGCGATACGTATTTATGTTTCCTATATATACACACTACATTCATGTATCTATGTAACTTGGATTCTTCTTCACTTATTACAGAAAATATATTGTGTGTGCCACGTTGTCTTGCAATCGCTCGTTGATCATTATCACCCGCTCACAATTGCCATCAGGTTATGGGCCCAGTTTATCGCCAAGTAACTGCGTAAATGAGTCTGTGAGAGTTACGGTGTGAGAGATATCTTGATCGCGGAGTTATCGCAGAGTGATCGCGGAAAGATTTTCGCTGGCGCGGAGTTACACGTAGCCGACGCGTGATCAGCTCGCAACGCCGTTGCGTGTCGTGTAGCCCGGACTTTCCTTCGTGCAAGCAGAAATCGCTCTCAGAATGAGTCAAACAAGTACGCACGCGTTACCTCCTATAGAAAAGTTAATCGGTCGCGAGAACTTTACGACATGGAAGTTTGCGATGCAAAGCTACTTGGAACTTGAGGACCTGTGGGACTGTGTACGTGGCGTGAATTTAGACAAGAAAAAGTGTATACGTGCGCGGGCTAAAATAATACTTTCAGTGGATTTTGTGAATTACATTCACCTGTAAAGCACTAAGACGCCGAAAGAAGCTTGGGAGAAATTAAAGGAAGTATTCGATGATACGGGCTGTTTCGTGCTCGACTTGATTTTGTCGGAGCGCGATGAATGCCGGAGCCACTCAGATAGAGTGCGAAACGAGGGTGAGGGCGGCGAATGAGAACTCGTCAATTGGTCACGCGATTTATTTACACAATGTAGCTTTTATTACACGGACACTGTCGTGGCCAGAATTCTATCATTCTATCTATTCTATCTATTCTATCATTCTATCTATTCTATCTATTCTATCATTCTATCTATTCTGCGATCTTGACGCGGTGGTCTGTCGCAACGCGACTCGGATCTTGCCGTGCGTCGACCGGACGCTCCACGGACGGAGCGAACGAACTCTTGGCCGCGAGACGGACTGCAACCGCTCCCGCTTGTCGACAAAGATCCGGAGCTAAACTTCGGGTTGAGCTCGATTATTACGTTTCGATTGTCTATCACTCACGCACTTGGCGAAAGATTGGCGGCGATGCCGCGCTTAAACGGTGGAGAAACCACGCACAAATTTTTGGCCGTGAGGCGGAGAGAACTTGCCGTTAACGTGTACGAATCGAGTCTAGTTTCGCGATCGCTCGCTCTGGCCCCGAGAGCCGCGCACCTCTCCCAAAGGGTCGCGTCAACGCGTGATTGACCACACAGGAGAGCGTGATCGATCAACCCCGTGCGGGTCGAATCCGTGCCACGAGACTGACAGCAGACGCGTCGCAGTCAGCCTCGCGGCCCGGTTACAACGCTCCTTAACATACCGCCCGCCTCGAAACAGAGGTTTCGACGTTAGTGACCCTTGAGTGGGTCTTGTGAGGCGATCGATAGGTTAACAAGAAACTTAAGATACTACAACTTAAATCTAAATTATGTACAGAAATTATTTACAGGTTGCTTAATGCTAAATGGCGGCGCCAGTGCGGTGGCTCGGACCGCCCGCCATGACCGAGATAATTTGGCGACGAATATGAGCGCAGGGGTGTCCAGTTAGACGCCTTCTAAGTCGATCGGGAAGACACAGAGCTTGACGATAGGGCGATTATACTCCGATGTGGCCGTTTTGACCGTTACAACGCGTGTCAGTCCATCGGTGCCAGGGTGACATTGAGTAACTCTACCGAGTTCCCATTTACAAGGTGGTAGGGCGTTATTTCGCAATAAGACTAGTTGCCCGATTTGAATTGGAGGCTGAATTCGGCGCCATTTGACCCGCTGCTGGAGTGTGTTTATATAGTCGCTTTGCTACAGCTTCCAAAAACGCTCGGCTATTTGACGCACGAGTTGCCATCGAGACAACCGGTTTTCATTTAGTGTTAAGAAGGAAGGAGAAGGAGAAACGGTGATTGCAGACCCGATTAGAAAGTGACCGGGTGTTAATGTTTCGTACTCATGAGAGTCGTCTTGCAGCGGAGCGAGAAGACGCGAATTAAGACATGCTTCGATTTTGCAGAGAAGTGTGGAGAACTCCTCGAAGGTCAACGTATAATTTTTTATAACGCGACGTAAATGATATTTCACACTTTTCACTCATGCTTCCCATAATCCTCTAAAATGAGGCGCTGACGGAGGGAGAAAATGCCACTGCGTGTGGTCGGTCGCCGTAGAATTGAGAAAATTCGGATCCGAGACAGCCGCCTTGTACGCGGCGGTTAATTCGCGGTTCGCGCCGACGAACGTGGTTCCGTTATCCGAGTGCATCGACGCCGGCAATCCTCGACGAGCGCAAAAACGAATGTACGCGTCCAAAAAGGATGACGTGGAATAGCTTCCGACTAACTCTAAATGAATTGCTCTTGTAGCGAGGCACACGAATAACGCGATGTACGCTTTGCACGACTTGATCCCACGACCTCCCGAAGTTCGTATTTGAACAAGTCCTGCGTAGTCGAGTCCACAGTGGAGGAAGCTACGAGTTGGCGGAGAAACTCGCAGCGAGGGGAGATCTCCCATAAGTTGCTGAGGAGCTACGGCTTTCTCTCGCGCGCACGTCATGCATTTGTGAATGAGGGATCTTACTATCTTGCGAACTTGGAGGAACCAATATTCTTGTCGCAATGTTAGGAGCGTGAGTTGAGGACCGGCGTGGGGCGATCGCACATGAGCGTGCCGTATGATAAGGGACACGAGGGGATGAGCGGAGAGAATGATAGGGTGTTTCGTGCGATCGGGGATGGGAGCATGTTTTAAGCGACCTCCTACTCTCCGGTCTCCTTAGGAGACCGTCTTGATCCATGAAAGGGTAAAGAGAGAGTAATGAACTTTTTCGAGCAAGGGGTTGCTGAGCGGCCAGCACCTTTATTTTGTCGGAAAATGACGTCGCTTGTATTGATTTGAGCCAAAAGACTTTTGTTTGATGACACTCGTTGGTGGACAGAGTTAAACCAGGAGAGGGGGACGGGAGGCCGTCGCGTTTGATTCGACGGCAATGAATGACAAATCGAAAAATGAGCGCTGTGACTCGGATCAACTTGGGCCACGACGAAAAGCGTTTGTCAAGATCCCAAGAGGGAACCAGTGTCGCGACTTGACAAACGACTTGCTTTTGCTCGAGTTCTGTCTCATAAGGATCCGTTGAATCTTCGCGCGACCAATAACGTTGGGGAAAGTGGAGCCATGGAGGGCCCTTCCACCATAGGGCGTGTTCCAATAACTCATGTCCCAGTAAGCCGCGAGAGGCACAATCAGCAGGATTGTCGGTTGTAGGAACATGTCGCCATGAAACATGCGGAAGAAGTGATTGAACTTCATGGACTCAATTGGCTATAAATGTCTTCTATTTTGACGGATGCTGGCTGAGCCAGGCGAGCACGATCTTGGCGTCAATCCAGCAGAAGCAATCAGAGTTCTTGAGGACTATAGATCGTCGGACAAATTGAATTAATCGCGCTAGCAAAACCGCGGCGAGCAATTCTAAGCGCGGTACGGTCACTGGTTTGACCGGAGCTAATTTAGATTTGCTCGTTAACAACGAGATAACAATTCGGCCCGACAACGTTTCCACTTTTAAATATACAACGACAGCATAGGCGCTCGTTGATGCGTCAGCAAATCCGTGGAGCTCACAACGTATGGTGTCAGATCCATAACCTGTCCATCGTGGAATTTGCAGGCGGTTGAGAGCTTCAAGATTCGTGTAAATAGATTGCCATCGAGTGGAGTCGTCGGAGGGGATGTCATCATCCCAGTTGAGGTTGAGGCGCCATAGCCTTTGCATGAAAATTTTAGCGGTGACAATAACGGGAGTGGCCCATCCTAACGGATCAAATAGTTTGGCTATCGTGGACAGAATGGTCCGCTTAGTACGAGGAAGTTTTGGATCGAGGCTTACGCGAAATTGAAAGTGATCCTGAGATGGAGCCCAGCTGATGCCTAAAACCTTGACGCGTTCGTCGTCTTGCAGATTTTTGTTACAGGCAAGGCCGTGGTTGGCAGGATCGATGTCGGACAGTAACTCAGACGAATTACTCGCCCATTTTCTTAGTTCGAATCCACCTAAGCGCAAGAGGGCTTGAAGCTGGTCGCGAGATTGACGTAATCGTATAGGATCGTCATCGCCGAAGAGGGCATCGTCGGCGTACCATTTCCTTTGAAGGATGATGACAGCCAGCGGGAACTTGTGACCTTCATCGGTTACAAGTTGAATGAGAACGCGAAGCGCTAGAAATGTCGCAGAGATCATACCATAAGTTACGGTTAATAACACATACTCTCGAGGAATGTCTGAGGGATTAGGTGTCCACAATATTCTTTGATAATTGCCGTCGCGGGGGTCGACACGAATCTGCCGGTACATCTTTGTAATATCCGCAGTGTACACGTATCGAGATTGTCGCCATTGTAATAAGACCGCCGGCAGATCTTGTTGAAGCTTAGGTCCTGTCAGGAGGTGGTCATTCAGGGAGGATCCGTTCGCAGTCAAGCACGACGCATTGAATACAACCCTTAAATGAGTTGTCACGCTGTCTTCACGAATGACCGGATGATGGGGAATGTAAACGTTTTGCGCATTATCTATTTGAGACCGCGGTACTTCTTGCATATGACCTAGCTTTTCATACTCCCGCAGGAAATCTGAATACTCTTTCTGCTGCTCCGGATTGCGTTGCAACCTCCGAGTGAGGCGTTGTAGACATTTGTCCGCAATGGCTCTGGAATGGCCGATGTTGATAGGAGGGCCGGTTTTGAACGGCAAACGAACCATGTATCGACCATCCGGACAGCGCGAATGGGTTTGACGAAAATGCTCTTCGCATTGTTCGTCAGCCGGGCTAAGAATGGAAGATCGGGGAATTTCCTCGACTTCCCAGAAGCGGCGTAACTCGGCTTCGAGTGATTCGCCTTGAGAACAAAAATGTGAGGTCACGAACGGAGGAGTGCTTGACAATGGGCTTGATGACGTGTGTGACGAGACTAGAGAGGAGGCCATAGGTCCGGAAATAATCCAACCTAACACGGTGTTCTGAGCAATCGGTCGGCCGGTGGCTCCCTTCCGGAGGCCGTCGAGAATCAACTCGCCGTAAAGATCAGCGCCAACAAGAATTTGAATGGGATCTGTGCTCATGGGATCAGAATCTGCCCATGGAAGATCCGCGAGATGACTCAAAGTGAGCTCAGTTTCCACGCGTGGTGGAATGTATGACGTTAAAGATTTCAAAATCAACGCGGTCGTCGAGAATGCCGGTGCCGTGCGATCACGCGGAGAAATTGTGATTGTAGCCGCGGAGCGGTATGTCCCGGCGTTGACACAACCAACTGCCGAAATAGTTGTTGGCAAGCGAATTCGCTTCAAGCGCAAACATTGAGCGAGTTTCTCTGTGATGAAGGTCATTTCCGACCCTTGATCTAACAGTGCTCGAACCGTGACGAAACGACCTGACGACGAGCCGACCGTTATCCAAGCCGTAGCGAGCAATACATGTACGCGCGCGGTAGCATTTGAGAATGTAAACAGTGAATTTACTTCTTCTTTGGTTGTCGTGTCGGGCTGGGACAGCGGACTCGTCGGCACGACGTCTAGAGCTTTCGGTTGAGAGTCCGAGTCAAGGTGAAGCGTCGTATGATGCTTACGTTGACACAAGCGACAAGTGAATTTACTGGAGCACGCTTGAACGGCGTGACCTTTCCTCATACAATTGAAACAACGGTTTTCTTTTCTGACTAAATCGCGCCGTTGACTCGGACTCTTACTTACGAACTGCGGACATGCACTGAATTGATGCTTCAATTTACATAATGAACATTGCGGTGGCGACTGCGCGGATGCAGCCGCACTGTTAATTTTTTGTACGCTCGATGGTTTTGATTTGTCGGCGGGAGAATGGGGGAGCTTCCTCAAGCGCGCGAATCCGATTGTCAAGAAATTTACTGAAATCTTCATATGTCGGAGGAGTGCGTTCCTCGCTATATTTTAAATTCCACGCTTTGCGTGTTACCGTATCGAGTTTCAACGAACCGAGATTGACTAATATGTCACTCCACAGTTCTTCGGGTGAACGATTCAACTTGCTCAGAGCGGCGACCGCAGTATTTATTTTGTCGCGAAGGGTTTGGAGCTCGGCCGCGGATTCACGCGCGACCGCCGGCAAATTGAGCAACGTCGACATATGAACATTGATGAGGCGGCGTTTATTTTCGAATTGCGTATTTAACGTGTTCCATGCAATCGCGAAATTATCTGCCGTGACGTTAATATCCTTGACGCAATCAAGGGCACGATCTTTTAAGCACGACACAAGGAAATGCATGCGCAAAAAATTCGACAAATCTTTATTGTTAATGATGAGCGAAGTGAATCAATCTCGGAAGCTCTCCCATTCGTCGTAATTTCTGTTAAATGGCGGTAGCGTTATTTGCGGTAAGTGAGACAGCGAAAACGCGGATGATGATCCAAGCGGATGATGTCCAGATTCGAATGATTGGTTCGGACTCACGTAAGGATCCAGTTCCTCGAGACATTCGGCCATGTAGTCAGAGGCAGCCTGGTACGCGTCTTCACAAGCTTCGTACTGCGATTCCCGGAAGTAGTCGTCAGCAGAACGGTCAGCAGCTGGAGTGGCGGCAAGAAGGGCGAAATGCCCGTTTTGAACTTGCACCCAGATGTCTTTTAGCGCACGGATTCGATTTCGAATTTTGGCAGGAGTAAGATTTTTCTTGCCGATTTTTCGAAAATTGTCTACTGCACGGTCGACGCCTCGCATCAACTGCGTTTGCCGTTCCCGAAGTTCAGCCATTTTGTACTGACTTTACGCGTGAACGTTCTCACCGCGAACTCGCGTGAATCTCGTTTCGATCCGGCTCGAAGGACCAGATGTTTCGTGCTTGACTTGATTTTGTCGGAGCGCGATGAATGCCGGAGCCACTCAGATAGAGTGCGAAACGAGGGTGAGGGCGGCGAATGAGAACTCGTCAATTGGTCACGCGATTTATTTACACAATGTAGCTTTTATTACACGGACACTGTCGTGGCCAGAATTCTATCTGCGATCTTGACGCGGTGGTCTGTCGCAACGCGACTCGGATCTTGCCGTGCGTCGACCGGACGCTCCGCGGACGGAGCAAACGAACTCTTGGCCGCGAGACGGACTGCAACCGCTCCCGCTTGTCGACAAAAGTCCGGAGCTAAACTTCGGGTTAAGCTCGATTATTATGTTTCGATTGTCTATCACTCACGCACTCGGCGAAAGATTGGCGGCGATGCCGCGCTTAAACGGTGGAGAAACCACGCACAAATTTTCGGCCGTGAGGCGGAGAGAACTTGCCGCTAACGTGTACGAATCGAGTCTAGTTTCGCGATCGCTCGCTCTGGCCCCGAGAGCCCGCACACCTCTCCCAAAAGGTCGCGTCAACGCGTGATCGACCACACAGGAGAGCGTGATCGATCAACCCCGTGCGGGTCGAATCCGTGCCACGAGACTGACAGCAGACGCGTCGCAGTCAGCCTCGCGGCCCGGTTACAACGCTCCTTAACACGGGCTTAACACGAAAAGTCGGACTTTTAAGGAAATTGGTTACGACGCAACTTGAAAATTGCAGTTCAGTAGAGAAATACGTCAATCAAATCATCACGACAACGCATCAACTCAACGGCGTAGGCTTGGAGGTAAAGAACGAGTGGATCGGTACGTTGTTGCTCGCGGAGCTTTCGGACGGTTACAAGCCAATGATAATGGGGCTTGAAAGCTCTGGTATGCCAATTACCGGAGATGAATGATCAAAACAAAACTTCTGCAGGAGGTAAGAAGTGGCAGTGCTAAGCCAAAGAGTAGCGAGTCCGATACTGCATTTCTCAGTAAGCAAAAGCAGAAGAAAAAGGTAAAATGTTTTTTTTTGTAATCAATTCGGTCATATAGCGCCGAAATGTCCTCAAAAGAAAAAGTCGAAAAATAAGAAGACAAATGAGCCTAAAGCCTTCTTCACAGGAAATGCGACGGAAAAAGCAGAAGGTTGGTTGATCGATTCCGGAGCGTCTTCCCACATGACGAGAGATCGAGAGTGGTACAAAAAATTGAAAAAGTGTAAGAATACGAAGATCAAGGTCGCCAACGACGCGAGACTCTCGGTGGAGGGCAAGGGAGACATTGATCTGGTAATTCAAGTCAACGGCTCAACGGATCAATTGAAGATCAAGGACACGTTGTACGTACCTGAGCTGTCAGCGAATCTTCTCTCTGTCAGTAAGATAACCTCAAAAGGTTATACTGTAACCTTTATGAAGGAGAAGTGCGTGATAACAGACAAAAGTAAAGAGCCGATGGCGACGGCGTCTCGCATGAATGACACATATCGTCTTGATTGTCCGTCCATGGTCTTCTACCGTGGTCAACAAGAGGAAGAGAGTTCACTGTGGCATCGACGGCTGGGACATCTTGGACGGTCCGGAATGAAGCTACTCAGGGACAAATATGGCGTGGGTATTAGCTTCGAGGATCCTACGAATGAGCCATGCGTTACGTGCTTGAAGGGCAAGCAACACCGAGAACCATTTCCTCGATCGGGGAAAAGAGCATCCAGACCATTGGAATTAGTGCATTCGGACCTGTGCGGTTCAATGTAAAAGACTTTAATAGGTGGATTAAAGTATTTCATGACGCTGATCGATGACTACTCAAGAAGAACTTCGGTGTATTTTCTCAAGGCAAAGTCTCAAGCTTTGGAATGTTTTTGGGACTTCAAGAGCATGGTAGAAAATGAAACGGAAAATAAAATAAAAGTTCTCCGCACGGATAATGGGAAAGAATTTATAAATGAAGAGTTTTCAGCCTTTCTACGAAAATCGGGAATTCGTCACCAAACTACGATTCTTAGGACGCCTGAGCAGAACGGGCTCGCTGAGCGGATGAACCGTACCATAGTGGAGAGAGTCAGGTGCCTCTTAGCCGATGCAGAGCTAGACACTAGCTTCTGGGGAGAGGCAGTATCGACCGCGGTTTATTTGATAAACCGTTCTCCAGCGAGGGCGCTTCAACACAAGACTCCAGAAGAGCTTTGGACTGGTGAGAGACCAAACTTATCGCATCTACACGTATTTGGATGTCGTGCCATGTCTCATGTGCCAAAAGAAAAGAGGAAGAAGTGGGACATGAAATCAGAGGAATGCATCTTCTTTGGTTACCTAGAAGAAACCAAAGGCTATCGTCTATACCAGTTATCGTCACGAAAAGTAATCAAGAGCAGAGACGTCGTTTTCCTGGAAGGTGATCGCAAGAAAAGGGAATCTGAAGAGGAAAAAATGAAGGGCGAGACCAGCATTCCAGTCAACGACATAGAAGTCCTCGATGAAGTAGGGGCACTGCCCAAGGAAGAAGATTCCCTGTCAATCGTAACCGTCTCGTCGGAATCGGAACTCGATGACGGAGATGACGGCGATGACGGCGATGACGGAGACGACGGCGATGACGGCGATGACAACAATGACGGAGATGACGAACGCCAAATAACCGCGCCACTCCAGAAACCCGCCGAGCAAGTGAGGAGATCTTCGAGAAAACCAGCACTAAAAAAGTTTGTCTACGTGAGCTACAAGGCAACTGATGAGACCTTGACTGATCCAGTTACAATCAAAGAAACTTTTGAAAGCTCTGATAGCGTTAAGTGGAAAAAAGCTATGGCCGAAGAATACAGATCTCTTATGGAAAATGGTACATGGACACTAACCAAGCTACCGGCTGATCGAAAGGCCTTGAAGAGCAAATGGGTTTTCAAGAGGAAGAAAAACTCCAACGGTGAAATTGAACGACATAAAGCTCGTCTTGTCATTAAAGGCTACTCACAGGTCAAAGGCATTGATTACGAAGAAACCTACTCACCAGTCGTGAGGTACGGATCTATTAGACTTCTACTCGCTCTTGCGGCCAAATATGACTTGGATGTGGACCATATGGATGTGATCACAGCGTTTCTACAAGAAGACCTTGCAACCGCACGCGCCGTGTCGACCAACTGACGCTGACGTTGACGGTGGTGCCGCGTACAGCGGCGCGGGACGAACAAGACGAGCCATCTGACGAGTTCCTCAGCCCATCTCCAGGGGAGGAGACCTCAGGGGACGATAGGGACATTCCCGCTATAGATTAAGTTTTCGCGAGCGCTCCGAGGACGGAATTACCTAGGGAGCACAAACTTCTTTTCGTTATTAAGTTGGATATTTATTTTATTCATTTGTTCCACAGATTAAGTTTATCCGTCCGGCGCAATTAGAATTAAGTTATGCGACAGCGTTCGCCGAGCAGCGGCTCACCTAGCACTTAAGTTCTTCCTTCCCGATCCACATCAGTCAATTTCTTTTTTCGGCATGACAATGCCCGGCCCGACTGGGATTAGGTTTTTATTTTGGTTTTGGGTATGTGCGTGGATCGCGGTAACGCACACATTAACGTAACAGTCGAGCCACACACAATTTTCAAAGCGCGGGCAACAAGTGCCCGAACCATGCGTGCCCCGCGAATAATAATCATTTTGCCGACTCACGAGGTCCCCAAATAGGGGCATACGCGAAAGCGCCGCGATCTGAACACCCGGACATGTAGTTCGGGCGACAACCCGCGAAAGCGTGATTTGGACGTTGCGACCGCATGCGACGCCTCGATCATCCAAGAGAACAAAGACGAAAAACTCCGCGTCCCGATAGGG